GGCTATAAGAGTATAAGGGGATAAAGGTTTAGGCCTATAAGGGTATAAGGGATAAGGCTATAAGGTATAGGAGATAAGGGGATAAGAAGATAAGGTATAAGGGATAGGAATATAACGGGTTAAGGCTAAAAGGTTTGGGTGTAAGACTATAAAGGTTTAACAGGATAAGGAGATAAGGCCCCATGGATATAACGTTATAAGGGGATAAGACTACAGGAGTATAAGGAGATAAGGGTATAGGGGATAAGGCTACAGAGGTATCAGGGATAAAGGTATAAGGATGAGGAGGTATAACTACAAGAGTATAAAGCTACATGAGGGTAAGACTAAAAAGGATACAAGGCTATAAAGTCTATCTATATATACAATGCGAAGTGTGTGATTGCCTGTTACCGAATCAAGGCTAAAGCACAGATGTAAAAATTTACAGGAAAAAGCAGGCGTGCAGTATGTACGGGATCTCGCTAGTATATATATGTTCGAAGAAAATAGCTAGTGTAAGTTTTTTGTTCTCTTTACCCACCCTCTCATTGCCATTACAGGCATCATCATTCGAGGACAAAAGAATTGAATGGAAGCAATAAAGTGATGATGACTCTTATAAAAATCTACAATATTTCATAAAAGCCTTCGTTGAAACTTGAATGACTAAAATTCGTGTTTTTTGAATATTTTCAATAATGTTGTTTTCGATTTTTGCTCAGATAAAAATTGGTCCAAAGATATCAACGATAATAAGCAGTGATGCATCGATTCCTTACAGTTGTCATATAATTTACACATAAAGTGATTTGATATGTCAGTTTATCGCGATTTATAATAGGATATTTATACTTTCTATAAGTATAATAGACATTTACACTAGTCTTTGTCATTTTAATCAATGATTAAACAAATAATAATGTTAAATTAAGAAAAACAATACAAAAATGATAAATAACAAGAGAATAGTAACAAAATGAAATAAAAAATCGAGAGCCAGAAAAAAAAATTCTGTTCGAAATGCAGAAATTTTTCACTCGACGTATTTTATATTAGTTTAATGAAGCTAAAGAACATATATGTTCGGCATTTCAGCCTCAAAGAACTTATGTTGACAAGTATTTTGTCAGTTAAATGAACAGTTAGAAGAATAAAAACAAAGAGTGACTTAAGAAAAAATGAACGAAGAGCAACATAGAGGACTTTAATGATCGATCATTGTTCGAAAGAAGCAATCCTCTGTTTGAGATTGTCATTTAATATATTAGTACTAATGGGGATGAATTAGCAATTTTTTTGTATACTTCTCATTTGTTTCACAATTAAAACAATCGAAGTAAAATATCTTACCGATAAAGAGATCCTTAGCTCTTTCTTCGTCAATATTATATAAAGCAAGACCATATAAATTTGAATAATTAGCAACAAGAAGAATACGTTCCATAGATGATGATTCAACGTCGAGCCATTTAATTTTTCGATGAATTTTTGGTAAAATTTCTGAACAAAATCGATCAAGCATTGGATCAGGCAACGGATAGATGGAATCATTGGAGGAAAATCTGATCATTGTTAAACGACTTGCAAAAATTGAATCATGAACAAGTGCATCGAGTCGTTTATTAGCGCCTATCATCGAATACAGTATTTCGACGTTGTACAATTTTTTCAAGATAATCACAAGAATTTCATCAGGCAAATCAGTCAAATGAACTAATGAACGTTCCATATTTATTTTTACTTCTGTAAATTCTATCATGCCTTAGAAAAGTGATTATTCATATACAGACATTCATTTTTATGTGACCTTAATCGTCCATAAAAACAATGACGTATTGTTCTAAAATTTATATTGACTATGAATGAGCGAAAATGAAAAACACGGCACCATCTTTTTCTTCTTTCTTCAACATACGTTATATGTCAAAGAGAAAATTGATCGGCGCCAATTCGACGATATAAGATTGGTTGAATATTTTGTAATAAAAGAATGAATAGGTTTTTTTTTAAACAACCTCAAGTGTAACGACTAAATTGACGTTTGGTTTTTTAAAACGTTCCATGCCTACAGACAAATTTTTGCAGAAGAATTTCTCTCCGGGAGACGACAGTTTTTTGAAAGCTCAAAAGTTCAGCTGAGCTGCCCTTCAAGGGGCGCTGTAGTGAACTGTTTCAAGTCCCATTACCACAACGCCGAATTGCAGTGAAAAATAGACTAAGATATTTTATTTAAAATTTCTTTAAAAAACTGATAGCATCAATCATGACTATAGTTATATCAACACCACCTACATTTGATGCTTTGGAAAATTGTAGGATAAGATACCGCGGTGACAATAGGTATCACCATGGTTTTTAGTGAGAAAAGTGCGATTTATGAAACTGGTAACTATTGCAATGTCCGAAACCGCGGTGGGATTCGAAAAATCACGGTGTACAGCGGTTTTTTTGTGCAGGCGAATCACTTTTCAATGTACACAAGCAAAAAAATAATAAAGATATAGACTCAATGCTTCAATTTCATCTTAAAAAATATGCTGACAATGAACTTACTGGTTCGGAACTAGCCATCAATTGTGGTTAGTATGTAAAAATAAAGTATACTATTAAGTAATCATTTGTTCCTTGTTATACTCATGTGTATTATTGCTCATACTTGTTTCAATAAATTAAATATTAGACAAGTCAATTAATGAAATATCTTATTAGTTTTCCTCAGGAAATCAGTAATGAACAAAAGCAAGGAACAAATTAGGAATTAAATTTTAGGCTTTCAGACTTGCCAGGACGAAATTGAAAAGTTTCTTGTAGAATGAATTTTCACTAATTAAGGACGATCCCAGTCGGGGATAACCCGTCGAATTTACATTATTTTGCATTCTTTGATGTCGAATAGCGATGCTTGTTCACTCATTTTCAGTCATGAGAGCCATAAAAAATTGCTAAAATAACCGAAAATTGGTGGATCATCAATTTCTTTTATTCAAAAAAAATGATTTTACTAAAAAACCATTCAACTTCTGTGAACAGTCTTCGATGTTTTTCATGAACTGTTTCCACTGCTATAAAATAAAAACAAAAATATTATTCATTCACTTTGAAAAAGACTTTTTAACATACTTTTCAGTATTCATCATCATAATCATTTATATCAGCAGCTAATGATACTTCATATGATTGTTGTTGTACTGTTGTTGCCATAAATTGTGTTCCATATGGAGGTTGTTGTGCTGTTGTAGCCATAAATTGTGTTCCATATGATTGTCGTTGTTCTTGTGTAGCAGTAACTTGTGTTTCACGTCCTTCACCTTTTGAATTATCATTTGCTTGTAGATTAAGCAAGTCTTTTTGTACCTGGAGAATTTGCTTTCTCAAGGCTTTGAACAAAACTTTGTATTTGATATCGTCGCTATAAAAAGAAACTTTTTTAAGAACAAACGAATGCAAGAAATTCTAATAAATTAAATAAGCCAAACAAAAATAGTGCTTTTTCTACTCAATTCTATTCTTTGACGACTTTTCGTTCTTTTTAATCCTTGGATGACTTTTGTGGGTCCCGCTGGGCCTACATAATACCATTGTTCGTTTTCTGTTACGATAATCCGTATCCTTTTCCAAGCGATCTCTTTTCCAATCATTAACTCTAATGACTAGAAAAGAGATCGCTTGGAAAAGGATACGTATTAACATAGCAGGAAACGAACAGCGGTGTTATGTGAATCCAACCTGACCCACAAAAACCATATAAGGGTTAAACGATTATTTTAAAGAAACAACATTAACAGTTCCTATATTTAATAATATATTGATTGTCCGACCACTACGTACCATTTTAAACAATCTTCCATACTCACATTCAAAATTAAAATTGATTTAAAAAAATTACTTTCATTTTATTCATTTTTTTAATTAATATTGTCCATTTGTATGAGTTATGACATATAAGAATAGCATGTAGTGATCGGATAATAACTATATACGGTTAGACATAGGTCTGATTAATCTTTTTACTTGAAAACGATCCATAAGGAGATCGACATGTCTTAAAAGAATAAAATTGATTCAAAAACCACTAATTTCAGTTTATTAATCTTCTTTATTACAATTGTTCATTTATATAAATTATCATAATTCTGAAATTTTAAACTTACTTATCAATAAGATCTGTTGTTTTGAATGCAAAAAACTGCAAATCATTGCCTACCTAAATTAAAAAAAGAAGATTAAAGATGAATACTGGTCGAACAAGTTACTAGAAATGAAACTTTGAACATTTCATCCTGGAAATAATGACTTGTAATAAGACGAACATGTTTGTTACAGTATGTAATATTTATTTCATCGTTATCTTTTTTGAATCTGAACATTTCATTTTCCTAAAAATAAAAAGAATAAAAATCTCTACAACAACGTATACAATTTGTTACCTCATCGTTTTGTCCATGTACAACAAAATCAAGATCAATAAAACACCAATGAGCTGAAACAATCAATTTATCGTAAATCGATGTTGCATCGTCCTTGTAAACGTAGAATAAAATTTTCAAAAACTTTGGACATTTCATATCTATAAAAAGCTATTAGCGCAATCATTAGAGGATTAAAATATCAAATATGCTATAGCTATTGTTGCTAATTACAGGTAGATTATTTCATTTTGTCTTTTGAAATATTTTTTCATTCTTCATTTGACTTAATCCTCCAGAAGTGCCTTAAGGAAGGGGATAATATATTCTAACAAGCTGCTATTAATATACAGTCTTCAACCGTATATCAACATCTGTTATGATCTATGGGATGGAGGATGAATTCAAAATTTTATCCTATATACTTTAACACTCCTTTTAGATGGTGTTTCATAAAAAAATACTCAATAAATTAATGCTAGTTTATCTTTTTCAAAAACAATTCGGATATACACTCACAACAATTTTTATCTTCAAGATAATCATCTGAACAATGAAATTAACAAGAAAAAAAATTATTGAATTTACTTCAAAAATATACTAATTTTCTCAAAAACACAAAAGACATTTTTTTTCTTTGTGAAAAGCTCGAAAAATCATGAAATTAAAAAAAAAACAATTTCTCATAAAAAATAAAACTTTCGTTGAATAAAAAATAATTCATGAAGAAGTTTGTTGAATATTTGTACAAATAATTGTTCTCTATAGAAAAATATAATTGTTGAATACTCGAAAAACTCATTAACCATATCAATAGTAACTAGGTATCAATAACAAAAGTATCATAATCTTAAATAATTAATTGAACTTCATTGTTTTCCATATTGATTGTTCATTTAGATGTATTTGAATTTCATCATTCACATAAAATACATAAATATTTTTCTCTCTATGGAGAACCAAGAACAATAGCTGACGAAGATAAATCATCAAGGAAATATTTATTTTATCATAAATTGTAATAAAATGATAAGATGATGCATCATCAAAATCAGATTTTAATTTCATCACTACGCAACAGTTATTGCGCCAATACTATTCTAAACTAAAAAAAAACTAAAGACTTACAGGCTATTTTTATGTTGATATTGATTGTAAGAATTTTTAAAAATCAATTGATATTGTTTCAACAGTAATTCATTATGCTCATTTAAACCATTTTGCAATTAATGTTTTATCTTCTGTTACGTGTTCACAATCATTTGAATCTTATTCAGAATCTTAAATAAAAGAGACTCTATTTGAAAGAGAAAGAATTTTTTAAATTTGTCGTCATCTTCATTATTCGTAGTCAATTTTTTAATTTCAGTTTTTTTTCTAGAAAACATCCGGTAAAACGTTATAAAGATAAGAGCAACATATATACTTTATCTGATTGTGTTGGTCTGGATTTGGAAAGGTATTCGCGTCTATCAATATGAGTATATTCATATTCACACTAAACTAAATCGAAAAACATCTTGAATTCAGAATTTTTTTCTCAAAGAATCAGCACGAGCAAAAGGTAGTTTATAATTCTGATCTTTGTTTATACCAGCATGAGAAGGCCAATCGTCTCATTAAATGTGTTTGATATGTGCTTAATATCCTATTATGAAACACGAACTCTTAAGATTTACTTATGCAAAGTTGGTTTTTGTTAATTTTTTTGTTGCGCGTCAATTGTTGGATTTCGATACTAGAATGCTTGAAAAAAGGTTGTTTCATCTTAAATTCGATCAAATAAGATAAAACAAGATCATTAGTGACCAATTTAATACGTAATTTACTTTGCTAAGATTATTGAAAAATCTCAAGAATAATAAATATCGAAAAGCAACTAGAAAATTTTGTGCACATTCGACAAAATATTTTTCTAGTATTTGTGTTAATATAAAACAATGATAATATTTAAAAAACAAATTCATTTTGTATCGACCCTGTATCCTAGAAATGATGCTCTGAATGTATATTATTATTGATGATGCTATTCTTCTCCTCATAAAAAAAACAAGCATCTTCTTTTGTGAAATTTCAAATATCTCTAGTCTCATCTTTCATCTGCATGATGTTTTATTCAAACAAAATAAACTTACAGCCATTATAGAACAAGAAAATCAAGGTGCTTCAGTTGGATTCCACTCCAACGAACCAATGATATCTTCTTATGAAGAACTTAAAATCAAAGGGTGTGAGTGTGGGTGTGGGTGTGGGTGTGGGTGTGGGTGTGGGTGTGGGTGTGGGTGTGGGTGTGGGTGTGGGTG